TCAAGACAACTAACCCCTCACCAAAAACCACTCACTTCGCCGGGATTTTCCCCTCTCCGGGTTCCGTTCCCGCCCAAAAGAAAATATCTCACGAATAGAAAGATCGCCAGAAATAAACGATGGAAATGAACAAAAATGTGAATGACGAAGGAATTCACAAGTTCGGGTAAATTAAGTAAAATTATTTTTTATAGAAAGAAAGGAAAGTGGATACCTCTCCTGGGCTTTGTTGCAGCAACTTTGATGCTCTTTTTCTGTGTTCTGAAATCGGAATCTTCTGTTTCCTCCGGCGGAAACAACACGCCGTCGATCCCCTGGACTGAAATCCGCCCATCAGTGTAAATATCGGGGTCGAACAAATACGCTGACGTTTCGCCTTCCCCGAACTTCACGGACCCATCAGCCTCCTGGGCAACAACCTTGTGGGGCAAACGGAGCGTATCGTATCGTATCTTGCCGAACCGCCTAACAGCATTGTACATGCTTTCTTCCGTCTGAAACTCGGGAATGATGTGATAGTAGACTATTTGCTCAGGCGCACCAGGTTCGCTCAGCTGGTCCGTCGTTAACTTAGCCATGGCCTCGTCGTTAGGAGCCAGAACTGTGAGCACGTAGCCCTCTGATACGAGCCGGCCCATCTCGGTGGCTAATGATGTTAGGTTGACGAGAATATCCGCCATCTCGTTGTACCCACCGTACTGGATCAAAGTTTGAATGAAATCTTTCACTTGCCGCATTCCGTCGAAGTGATGGTGAGGCCCTCCAGGACCTGGTGCTGGAGCTGGAGCAAGAGAAGGACCGGGTGCCATCGCGTCATAGATCGGGAGAGCCGGAGGTGAGCCGGGAAGAGATGGTGGGGCGGGTTTCTTTAGCCGGTGGGTCTTCGGGTCGACTTCCGGCGCGCCCTCGGGTTTCACGGCGGAGATCGACCGGAGACTACGCCGATTGTTGAAATCCTGCTGAACGGAACGGGGGACGAGGAGCCGCTCGATCCCGTGGATCACTCCGTCTGGTCGGTCCACGGAATTCGGGTGAACGACGGCCGCCGAGCCAACCAGCTTGACACCGGAGTCATGACTCGTTAGCTCGAGTCTATCATTGCATAGAGTGTGATGGCGGGTGGAATCATTAGATTTCTGCGGCCAGTCGTGAAACTGAATCCTCCCGGGCACTATGTGGTGAAGAAGGAGAGTCTGGAGGGACCTGAGGTTTCTCGGCTCGAGCAGGAACCGCTTGAACTCGGGGTCAAGATCGCGCTCCAGCGCCTCGTTCTTGGGTGCGAAGATGGTGATGTTGTGGTGGCCCACCGCATTCTCCAGCTGCTGCAAAAGCAGAGCCTTCTCCACAAGCTCAGCTAGCTCAGTATATCGAGAATCAAGAAGCGCGACCAGCACAGAATTAGAATTTACTATTTGGCCCGAGTGACCGGACCCATCTTGCAATGCAGCTCGAAACTGAAGACTAGAGATAAGAAGAATGACAGTAAAGAGAACAGAGGAAGAAGAATGAACCCTAGCCATTGAAGAAAGCAAACCAGCTTTGTATCAAAACTCTGGTTTCTTGAATAGATTGATATAGAGAAAGAGATGAGAGGGAGCTTTATTGGCTTCGAAGGCTAACCTTTCTCTCTCTCTTTCTTGCAAATCTCCTTTGATTTTCTGTCTATCAAAATATTAACGCTGTGAAACTGTTGCTTTCTACTTTTACACAAGGTGGGTAGTAGTAGAATAAATGGGAGTTTTAGGAACCACGAAAGCCAAAACAATGGAGGAGGGTAAACTTTAAAGGAGAAAAATGGTGACTGAAAGTGAAAAAAATGGAGAGATTAGGTGAAGATAGCGTCGGTCGGGGGTAAACAATGGAGCAACTCACACGTGGGAAAATCTAAAAATAGAAAAAAGGAAAAAGAAAAAAGGCTTCCGGGCACATCAAGAAATTTGGTGGCAGAAACTTCTTTGCATCCTCAAGTTTGGTTTCAATGGCGTGCGTGGCCCAGCTGTCAACGTTACTGCCTCACTGTTTATTTTCATAATATTTATTAAAATTAAAAAAATAATAAATACGTACTTATTTGCCACCTTCTTAATTAATACCATGGATAATTGCAAAAAGTTCAAAACCCATTTCTTATTTTTTTTTACTTCGTATTTTGAGAAGCACTTCTAAGTGTCTTGATTATTACTACATTTCGTAATTTCTTAATTATCAAACAAATTATGTCCTTTTTATTAAAAAATATTGTGATTTTATAAATTATTGTAAAATTTTATTAAGTAACTGAATTATTACAAAGATAAAATAAAACACGATTAAGATTAAACCCTCCTATTTTATGAATATTAGTACATTTACTTAAAAATTTATCTTAACAAATAATATATTTTATATATAGTGAATTTATTTCAATTATAAACTTTAAATTATTATATATGCAACAAAATTCAAATTCGTATATGGTATGCATGCAATGAGCGTCTCCACATTAATTTTAATTTGGCTCTTGTTTGTTGCATGCTGCGTTCATACACTAATAATTTTTCCTATTTAAATGATGAATACTAATCTCACATAAATTTTATAACTATATATATTTTGTTTGTAGTTGTAAATATTTATTTCTAAATTTGAAGCACCTACTCAACATTGTTTAATAAATTTTTCATTTATTAATGCAGTTTAACCTAATAAAATTATAATTTTTTATAGATGTATTGATAATTTAATTAAACTTATATCATCAGTAAAATATATTTTTTTTACTATATAAATATTTTTTAAATTATAAATTTTACAAAACCTAAAATTTAGTAAAAAATGTTTAAGAGTAAACAATTACCAAAATAATTTTAAAAATATTAGCTAACAGGCTTATATGTTGAATGATATAACTGTTTGGCCTTTTTTTTTTTTTTTTTTTTTTGCAAACTACCTTAACAAATAAACCATAATTTCCGGTCAAGTTTTTTTCTTTCTTTATTTTCTCCAACTTATACGCCACACAAACAACCCACTTCTTTTTTAATGTTTTACCAAATTGTTCTCATTGAAAATTCAAAATTACTTATGCATATGTAGTTCTACTAAATCTTTAATTTATAAGAATAATTTTAATTTTTTTGATATATTATAAGTTTCTGAATTTATATATATATATATCATTAATCTACCTTATTTGACTTATAAAAAAAAATAGGAAAACAAAAAACATACTTTCATGTATTCTTTTTTCTCAAATATATAAGATATTTGGTTATGAAGTAACTTATAAATTAAATTATGTAAAACAAAAATTTATTATTTCAAAACAACTTATAGTTAAAGTAAGTTGAATAAATGAGTTAAGTTTATTTTTTACGACAATTTTACTTATTCTTCTTTTATGATAAAGCATAAGTTTAACCAAATTCCAAATACAACAAAGAAATTAAGTAGAAATAATATATTTTTAGCTTTTGAAAATCATAAAATCAAAATGCCAAACTTTATTATATGTTTGTTAATTTATAATCTACTGCTTTTAATTAAATATTTTAAAATAAACAAATGATCGTAATAGTAATTCTATGATTTATTATAGTTTATTAAACTATCATTTAAATTTATCATATTTCTTATAATTCTTACATATATTTAAAATACATTTTGATCTCCCTCTCCCTCTTATACATATAGATTTATGGTTGTTATGCATATACATGTGTGGAGGCCAACAGAAAAGAGGCTCGTTAGTCGTAAATCTTATCCCTATCTTTATTGAGGATTATGGTTTCCTTTATTGATGATTTTATTTAATCCATGGCAACAACTGAATTTGGCTTTTAAATTATTATTAGATTGTGTCATATAATAATAATTGCGATGTTATTTATAATAACTTATTATTAGATTGTAAAAAATAAATTATGTATAAATTATTGATTGTTCGTTAATTTTATAATTGTACGAGTATTATTAATTTTTTTGGTGGTCAATATTATGCATGGATTCATGTGTCAATTTCGCATGAATCTCCTCATTATTGAATTTATTCATAAAGGATTTGGTTTTATGTAAGTAAAAGTTAAAATTTATTAATTATATGGTAAACATATTTGTATTGTTTACCATTAAGTATTGATTTTAATTATATAAAATATAAATAAAAATATTATTAAAAAAACAATTTGGTCAATAAAATCTATATAAAATACGAGAAGGACGATAATTGACATAAGATAAACAAAAATTTTGCTTATATAATATTAATGTCACGTAATTAAAATGATAAAGAATAATAATTAATAATAATTAAATTTTCAGTTAAATAAATTTTATTTTAACTATTTGAAAAATATACAATGTATTTAAATATAAATATGGCATGTAGTTTATATACATATAGGAAAATAAAGCATAAATCCATAATACATTTTAGTGTCATTAAAAAGATTAATTAAATAACAAATATAGCTCAAAACAGTAGATATCAATTTCTAGTAGACACGGCATGCAACAAAAAAAAAAAAAAAAAAGAAAAGCCCAGAGGTAATCTTTATCAATTTTAAGTTCAAAATAAATTTCAAGTTCTTCCCCCTTTTCTTTCGAGGTGTTATATTTTGCAAAATTCTCCATTTGTCTTTTCGTTGCGGTGCTCCCTTCAACTTTTCAGCGCCTCGTCGTCTTACGTTGCACGTCGTCTCTCTGTCTCGTTCTTTACGCGCACAAATACTTATATCAGTGACTGCAGAGTTCCTTCAGACTCACTTGATCGGGCGGTCACAAATTTCCACCGATTACTCTGATGACGACTCCACCAATAGATGTAATTACCAATGCATATATATATATATATATATATATATCTCTATCTCATACATTCAGTTTTTCAATCTCAATTCAAATTGCTTCTAGTAGGTTGCTTAAGTTTCCTATTAGCAGAAGGTATCGGCGGGTGTACAATTAACTTCCAGAGTCTCTATCGGCAAATTCAAACTCAATGTCTCACATTCATTTGTTCTCTTTTGCAGCAGGAGGACGGTGAGATGTTGGTCCCTCACGCGGAATTCACTGATGGTCCTCGGCCTATGGAAGGTATGTTCATTCTTATTCAGTTCTCACTCTACATGTTGCCCGATAAAACCGTACAAGAAGCTTAAGAAATAAAACATATATTCTTAATATTTTCTTTTGTTAATCAATCTTTTCGGTTGTATTACTTACTCTTTATATTTTAAACTCGATTGAACTGTTTTAAACGGGCATTTAGCTTTTTAACCGTGTGTGTGTGTGTTATGTATACCGTATTTCGAATTTAGTTTCCTTTGTTATGTTAGGTTCCAGAAACTTGAAGGTAATTCGAATATGAAGGAATATTTTATTTTTCTAGTGCTTTCTAATAAGTGGCCTAGGGTTTCTTTTTTTTTTTTCCTAAATTTTTTATTTTACTGTCACTAACTTCTTTTGGCGGGAGTAGTGTTGTTTCTTGTCAAATGTTCTTTAGCGGGGATAAACAGTAAGATTCCACTTTGGATTGCTTTGATCATATTTTGTCCCTGTTTGGTTAGTGGCAGCTTATCCTGCTGGTAGGTGAAGGTGAAATCCTTCATCTCCCATCTTACTTCTTTAGACATCCTGTTGTATTTTTGTTGTTTATTCTCAATCATTTTGGCCTTTCTTGATTTAATTTTGGGTTTTTTAACTCTTATGATTATAATCCATTTTAGTGGTACAAGCAGAATCAGCAAGCACGCATAATGGTCAATCAGTCGATGATTCTCCTGCTGGAAGGTTCACTTGGACAATTGTGAATTTCTCAAAGCTTAATCTGAAGAAGCTCTACTCTGATACTTTCCCTGTGGGAGGTCATAAATGGTAGTTTCCTCTCCTCTCATTTTTGGAAGTTTGTATGCATATAAATGCTTGACTCTGTTCACTTGGATTGGTCATTAAGATTTTGCAATAAATCCAATTGGCAGGCGAATACTTATCTTCCCAAAGGGGAACAATGTGGATCATTTGTCCCTATATCTAGATGTTGCAGATTCTTCAACTTTGCCATATGACTGGAGTAGATGTGCGCAATTCAGTTTAACTGTTGTGAACCAAATTCATTGCAATTACTCAATTAGGAAAGGTATTCTTCTTATTGCTGGTGTTTATTGGAGCTTAAAGAATCTCTAGAAGCATTCTAATTACTGAAGGTTTTGTAGTTTTCCTTTTACAGCTTCATTTATCCTTTTTCTTGTGGCAGAGATTCTTTAAATTGTTGAAACTCTTATTCTTTCTTTAATATGTTTATTAATATAGTCTAGGCTACTTAATGGAGATAACTCTTCTCTTCTTTTTTTCCCCCTAGGTTAAGTACCCGATATTTGTGAGTGAGCTCGATTGAAAAATTCCTGTATGACATATTTAGCTTATCTTGCACCAAAAGTTAAATACCTCATTTACACAACTAAACTGTGTGCGTCTTTATTAAAGTTTACTGTCTAATTAAAAGTAAAAATATGTTGGAAAGATGACATGTTATATATGTACTTTCGAGTTGGAGAATCTACTTGTGGATATCATATGATTATTTTCTCTCATAACCGTCATCTTATGCCTTAACCTATCATGTTATTTAGTTTAGGGACGGTAGTGGGACATCATCTATGGTGATGCTTCCTCCAGATCCGAACCCTTTCCACTATTCTGCTTGCCACTGTCATTTATGTAGCAGGAGATAGAGTAATTTGGGGAATAGAGTTTAGAGATTTGAATATCTAAATATTGAATGGAATTCTAGTTTGCAAAGAGCTGTTGAAAATTTCTCATTAATAAATATGACATTTTTTTTTTATAAGAAAGAAATACTTTTACAGAGGGAAAAGAAGTATATAAAAGGAGAATGAGTAATTCTCCAAACCGAATGAAAGAAAAAGATAAAGAAAAAAAAACTAATGCATTATGTTTCCAGATTTATTTGTAAAATAAACAGAGAGATATCTCTATAATGCCCATTCCCCTTAGCCCAAAGAGACTACCAAGAGAAACTTTGTGATAAGAACTTTATGAGTTACGGTCCAAAGAAAGAACCTTTTTTTTTTGAAAATAAGAGTCGAAACAAAAAATTTAACATTACTAGACTGCCTAAATGGTTCTTCTTGGATACACTTGAAGCAGACTAAAGGAAGTTTCTCATTGTCCTCTCAATGATCTCTACTATGTATCTAGAAACTTTTAACAAAGAGAGATAAGTGTAACACTAGAAAAACACACCTGAATAAGAGTGACTCTACCACCAAGGAAAAAATGGCACCTTTCCAACACTCAAGATGCTTAGAGATCCTATGCACTACTTTACCAACTTTTCCTAAGGTTAAAAGGCAGATCTGATATACTCTCAAACATATGCAGGGTGGTACTAACATTACAGACCTTTCC